GGCCCGGTGCATTTTAACCTGAGTTGAAAATGACCCAACTGTTCAATGAGTAATTTTCCCGCCAAGAATTTAAGTGGCAGTACATGAGAACCACGCGTGCGTGAAAGCTGGATTTGAAATCTCTAAGTTGTATCCGGACGGTGAATATTCTCCTAAAATCTCAGCTTTCCAGCTTTTCTGGCTTCCGAAATAGTATTTTTCCCGCCAAAACTTTCACAGGGAAGCATGTGACCGGGGACGGGGGCTGGATTTGGAACTTTTATGTTGCGTATGTACTGGGAACATTCCCTGAAAATTTCAGCCTCCCTGCTTTCCTGGTTCTCATGTTAGCCATTTTCCTGCCAGGAAAACCTTACCGGGCCGCACGCGGGAACCGTGCAGATCCAGGGGCTGAATTAGAAATCTTTGAGTTCTATTTGGATGGTAAACATAATCTTTAACTTTCAGCCTTCTAGCTTTTCTCGTCCCCAAGTTATAAATTTTCTCGCCAAAACTTTCGCCTCTTCTTACGCGGGGCCCAGATTTTCATGAGGGTTTGTAACTCGGCCCTGGGGTGGCACTTATACGGGGAACCCACTAGCAAAATTTTGGCGCCGGAGCTTGCTTGGTTGCCGAGCTGAAATACCCGGCAGACGAACACACACACGCACACACACAAACATACACATGCATGCACAGACAGGGTCGTCACTGTATGCGTTTTTATGCGTTTTTGCCTATATGCAAATTGCATGCAGCGACTTTGTGTGTGTGTATGTGTATGTTTGTGTATGTGTAATCGTCTGCCTGGCTATTTTTACTCGGCGACCGAACTGGTTCCAGCGCCAAGATTTTGTTACTGGGTTCCTCGACCAAGTGCCACCCCAGATCCGCGGTACCAACCCTCACGCAAGTCTGGACCCGCGTATGAGAGGGTGGAAGTTTTGGCGGGAAAATAGCCAACCCGGGAGCGAGAAAAGATAGAAAGCTGAAATTTTTGAGGTTATGACTGTCGACATATAACTCAAAGATTTCAAATTCAGCGACCAGGTGCGTGCGGTTCTCCCTACAGCCCCCTGAGGATTCTTGGCACGAATATCTCTAGCTTGGGAACCAGGAAAGCTGGGAGGCTGAAATTTTCAAGTTCCCAGCGTAAGTACAACACAGACCTATCAAATTCGGTCCCAAGTCATACGTCGTTCTCAAATTCGGTTCCCAGTCGCACGACCTCGTGAAATTTTTTGGCGAAAAAATAGCTAACTCAGGAACCGGGAAAGCTGCGAGGCTGAAATTTTTAAGGGACGTTCCTAGCCAGTATATAACTTAAAAATTCCAAACCTAGTCCCTAGGTATGCATCCAGACCACATGCGGCCCTGTGAAAGATTGCTAGCTCGGGAACCCGAAAAGCTGAAATGCTGGAGAACATTCCCCGTCCATGTACAAATTAAAGGTTTTAAATTCAGCCTCAACGGCACTTAAATTCTTGGCTGGAAAATTACCCATTGAACAGCTGGGTCATTTTCAAACCCAGGCTGGAACGCACCAAGCGAGCCGGTGCGATCATGCGTTTTTATACCAGACTTGAAATAATTAGGTTAACTACATGAGTGTTTGTTTCTTTACACCTACCTTGTGCTTGTCGTAAATTTTGCATAAAAGGAAATAAACATTATCCGTTTAGCGG